TTAGACCAAGTTTAATTCAAGAAACAGCAATGCAACAATTTATTGAACAGTATGCACGATGGTCAAATGTAAAAAAGAAGTTTCAACAGTGCAAATAATGGTTAAAATTTGTAGCTATTCTGTTAGGAAAGGAATTGCCATTAGTTAACGGTATTATCGTTCTGATGTGCTGAAACGTAATAATGTACATAGTCCTGCGTCCTGTTGCAGCAATAAGACCCGTGTTTTAAGGGTCTTCTTTACGACCACACAGGGTGTCTCATGTATAAAGAAGAACTAAATTATTTCCAGAAGTATTGAAATTAAGAAAATAAATATACTAACAAGAGAAATTTATTTGATTTCGAGATTTGTATCTGCTGATGATAGAAAAAGTCTCCACCAAGGTCAACTTGAAGGTTATTTTAAGGTCATTGGTACTTTTTTTTGTATATTATATTCTGTTTTTTTTTAACAATGTGACGTTGTAGTGGTTCTAAAGATGAATTCAACGAGCTGTGGCATCATGACCTTGAAATGACCTTAACCTCTTGAGGCATACTGGAAAATAAAAATTATATATTTTGGGCCATGTTTTTTACTTCATAGTACTATAAGTTTGTTGTCCACCAAACTTATTAAAAACTATTTCTTTTAGACTTTCAAAAATTTCGTAATGCCTTGTTACGTTTAGTGCATATTCGAATTTTAGAAACTTAAGTTTAAACGTTAAATGTTAAACTTTAAGTTAAAAAACTCAGTTTAGTTTAACTTAAGTTAAATTAAAATGTTAAGTTATATTAAATTTAAACGCCTTCAAAGTTATAGAAATTAAATTTAACCTTAAAATAATTAAGTTTTAAACTTTAAACTTAATTGAAGAAGTATAATTAATTAAATCTTTCTTAATTCATTCCTTCTGATGAAGTTGTTCATTACAACATTGTTTATGGTGTCGAACATCTGTTCCTTAAATATACATGTATGTTCATGACAAAAACGAAGACAAAGCATTGAATGAAATAAGAGCATACACTGAGGTTGACATTAAGCCGAGCCAATGTTGATGGCTTCGCCACGTGAGAGCTCTGATGTTGTTAAATGCATGACTAGACTACAGACTCACCTAACCGATGTACACGTATATCACGTGTCCAAACATAAACTATTCATTGCTTTTATTCACACTTTCATTTGAACCGTAATTCGATCTTCTGCAAACCAAAAACCGTTATTGTTATATACTATAATACTTACTACACTATATATTTATTATACTCCACGATACTTTAGTACGTTCAAGACAGAGATAGGTAAATCCATTATCTAGAATTGTAGATAATGTAGGATCTAGATAGAATTTAGATAAAACCTAGATAAAATGTAGATAGAGTCTAGATAAAGTTTAGATAGAATCTAGATGAAGTCTAGATAGAATTTAGGTAGAATCTACATACAATCTAGATAGAATCTAAAAAATGTAATTTCAGTTTTTGGTAATATGCTAGATTCCATCTAGATTCTATCTAGATCCTATTTGGAATCTATCTAGATGGAATGTAGCATATTATCAAAAACTGAAATTACATTTTTTTTAAATATTCAAAAACCAATGTGAAAATTAAAATTAAAATTTTGTTAGAAAAGTGTTTATAGATATACATATTGTGGAACTAGATTAATTATTCTGATCTATCGTAAATAAAAATTAAAATATTAAGAATTACATTTTTTTTTTCAAATGAAGCAAACACTGAAAAATGTAAGGAATATTTGTTTGTATAGAATTAATACAAATGAATATAATAAATATATACATAATTAATATTCCTATCTATCTCCAAATACAATAAGATAATATTGTTTAGAAAAGTGAGATTTTCACCACAGACGTGTATAAAAGTCGAAGTTACAAGAGTATACATTATATAATCGTAAAATTTTAAGTCAATCCACGTACCAATTTTTAGAAAATCGTGCCAACCAACTCACAAAGTATGGTTTCGCGTGGCAATGTTTATTTTGTAATCTGCTACAATCTTTTCCATGAAAGGATTTACATAACATAGCAAATTCTACAATATATGCAACCAGATTGAATATTTAAATTAATATCTAGCATAGTTTTTCTTAAATAAAATTACCTTTTATTTCATGAAAATTATTTTTCTTAAATAAAAACATTAACCTCAAATTACGACAAAATTTGTCATGAGATACAATTATTTTTCATTTACAATTTTTTACATACAAGTAGTTACTCAAATTCTACAATATATTATTAAAAGCTGTCGTAGCATTCGACTACACATAAAATGGTCAAATAGTGAATTTCAGTTTCTGTTTTTTCATTTAACAAACTTTGTGAATATCAGATGTGCAAATAAGATAGTTCCAATACGGTAGCAATACATTTTCGATTCCGTAAATCTTTCCAATCTTCTGTTTAGTTAAAATGGCGGGGTATGCTGGGAAGAAATAACGAATATTTTTAAAATAGTCTAAATAGTTATTTAAAGTGTCTAAGGTTATCTTGAGGTCATAACTCACGCATGTTCGAATGCATTGTTTCGTCTACTACAAGATACAATAGAAAGAAAATACATACTTTCCTGCAAAAAAACAGCAGTGACCTTGAAAAAATGACCTTAAAAAAAAATTTTATTTCTCTCCCACAGTATTACCCTTTCGAAACCAATTCAAATTGTGCTTCAAACATTTCTCGATCCGTAACTTCCTCAAATCCAGTGCAGATTGCAATATACCTTGTAACGTTTGTTCTGAAACTATTTTACGTTTAATTTTTTATTATTACACGGTTTTATTTACGTTGGTTCCTCTATTTGTCTGGGTAAAATCTTGAAATCAATTTTCGTCCCACTTTTACCAAACCGATTCCCTTGAAATTTTGCACACATACATATGTATTTGCAATAACAATACAATATTTCAGAAATTTCAGTTGATCGATTAAATAAAATTACTTTTCAGTCCATTTTTGCATTGCATTGTACTGTGATGCTGTATTTTCTAAAAATTAGATTTAAAAAAAAACGCAAAATAGGTTGAAAAGGAATTTAAAAAAAAGTTATTGTACATTGCAATGCGCACTGGTTCTGAGGAGGTTAAAATGGGAGAAGATATTAAGATGGCCTGTTTTCAGCTGGGATCGTTGATTTTCGAGTGACTCGTCGAGAATAATGCGATGAGTAGAACAGGCAACTCGGTGTAAGAAATCGTGTGTAACAGCTGATACAAATGAGAAACGGTTCGGAAATCGTTTTTGATTGTCGTAATCCGACCTGATTGGCAGCACATGTGGTACAATCATGCGTCTACTTTCTTACGCAAGATTCTGTTGTCACTAGCTGATTCAAGGCCGATCGTCTGCAATTTATTCACGAGGTCCCTTAATCCGTTTGCTTGACAGAGGCGGAACTTTGGGACGTATTTAGAATGACCATCAATGAAGGCTGTCATAGGTGAACCGGTTTAGTTCTTCTTAATTTTCGGAGTGATTCTCTGGTCCAGATCAACGCACTTTAATTAATCTTTATCCTGTTGAACGGGCAGCCTTCGGAGAAGGTCGTTGAATAATATTGCGATCGATAGATTGTAGATTCTTATGGAAAATTACATTTTGTAAAGAAATCGTTATAGGCAGAAATAAAAGGAGGATTTTTTTTCTTCCTTTAACACCTTGCCTTGCGAATTTTTTGACATCTACTGTCTCCAGAATTACTTTATTGTTATTAGTTTCCCAGTAACAAAAAGAATTCTGTACTTATCGCATGTGTGCATTTACTCTGAAGTGTTAAGAAGAATAGTATTTCACTTTGACTCGAAGAAAATTAATAATATTCATGGTTACTCCATTTAACACGAGTCTGACTCGATGTTATAAGGCAAGGCAAGGGGTTAAGTATCTTGTTGGGTTAAGAATATAAAATAGTTTCTTAGATGCAATGAATGTTTTGTCTTAACAAGCACTCGTCATTGCGGGGCATTTTCAGAAAATGGAAGAAAAGATTAAGAATTGTATCTATATTCATATTATAGAAGTTATATGAAGTTGTTATATTGAAATAAATCATTCTAAATTAATTCGTTATTTTTCTTGACTTTTGAATAAATGAATACATCATTTTAAGTTCTAGTCACTGTAGCTTATAGACGCTTGACACACAAAACGACAATATTTTCTTTCGTGACATGAGAACATTTTCTCTTAAAATAAGTCTGATTTTAAATTCGTTTCGAAAAGGGCCACTTTAACTGTATTATAGTTAAAAATTCACGTTTCGATAATCATAGAGCATTTCTATTTCTCAATAAAAATTATTAACACCTTTGAGACCGATGACCCAGCATATGAGTAATGAAAGTACACACCTGTTTAGCAAATGACTCAACGTGTGGGTCATATACAGCTGGTACGTAAACTTGTTGACTACTCGGGATAGTCTTGCATAAAAATACACCGTTCTCGATTGTGTTAAAGTATTATTATGCAAGGGACGAAAAAGAAAAGTACAATAGGGTGGGATTTTCGTACTTATCGTAAATATAAGAAACAGTATTCAGAAGTATTTGTCACATCTGTTTTTTTCTAAACATTCAGAGACAATAAAAAATTTGTCGAAAATGAAATTATTTTCAAGATTATTTCAAGTAGAATTATACAAATATAAGATATAATAAAAAATCATTTAATTGCAAATCGTATATGAAAATAATTTAAGAATTATATAATTTAAGTAATAAGAAACAATTGTTTGCTTGTCGAGTAAAATAATGTAGAAACATTTGAAAGTAAGCTGACATCTTTATTTGAATACTGATTTTGTAAATATTTTATCTGAATAATACATAACCCCGGACCATTATAAGAATTATCCACCATAACAGAACTAATTAAATATTTTACGATGAACACTTCGATCGTTTCGAAATTTAGCTTATATTTAATAAGGTTAATTATGTGGTGAAATTCATTTTTGGGTGAATCGTGTTTCAGGTTACCAGAATGCGGCGCCCCAATATACTTTATGCAATATCCTGTTTCTTATTACACGTAAGTAAAATAAAATGTTCGTTTGCTCTCGTTAAGAGAGATGTAGTTCAGCATAACGATATCAGATTTCCACAAAAACGACATTAAGGGCCTTACCTTAAGGCATCCCTTGAGCTGAGTACAATGTCTATTCTGTATTTACGGTTACTCTTAGCAATGTAATATTAGTTCATATATATAAATATTCATATTTATTACTTTAATTTTATCGAATAGTAAAGTTGTGTTGAGTCAAAATGTTTGTAAGTATTGTTATAAAATTTCGTACAAGTTCATAATATTGTCCAACAAATTAAAACTTTTTTTCTGATCTGCAATCCCCATTGAGTGATTCTTTTAGAGTTCTATCAGTTTGCCATCAGTTTTTCAAAAAACATGAGTTTTTGTAAAAACGCATGATCCAGGGCAAAAATAAGGAATTACGTGAAAAATAAAAACACTAGAAAGTTCAATTTAGCCATGGAAGATAGAGGAGGGTTTCCTGAATCTATCGATGTATACAGTTATTAAACTTTACGGTTCTGAATGCTTGTAAATGGCGATCAAAGTTTAAAAAAGATCCGGCTTGCGTACTTTTTACTCATTATTTTAGCATCTTCACGACAAGTTCTGTATCCAGCATCAATTCATTGCACAGTATCGGTTTCTATAGATATTTCTGAGGAAGAAACCATCCAGAAAAAGTGTCGTAACGGTTTTCAATTCGGACAGGTCGAGAAAATATCCATCGGCAACATCTGCATGCTGTTTTCCCGCCATGCGGCCATCTTTAAATTTCAAATAAATTTGCCTTTTGTATTTATTTCTTTTCGACAGATTACAACGACATAAAAAGAAGTAACTAATAAAAAATTAATAGAACAGACAGAAATGGCAAGAGTACAAGAACACAAACGTTTCTTTATAATTAAAACAGGGATACGGTGTGAATTTTTGGTCCAGTACGCATGTAATTTTAACGACATCTTGCGCAAGCGCAGCAAACCAATCACTCTTCGCAGTTATATAATTATATCGATTCATTTAATTTTCATAAAAAATTACTGTTTTCACAATTTTCACGTAGCCATGATCCGGTTATTGCCACCGGCAATGAAAGTACACAACATGATGACACGTTGTACTCACAGAGGGCCAGGTTTGAAATTATTCAACGCAGGGCTGTCAGTTACGCGATTTATTTTTACGTCATGAAATGTCGCAACGTGTTTCTTTGTTTTTCTTTTGTACTTAACCTCCAATTTCCATAAGCACCTACAGGTGTCGCCATTTATTTGGGCTGTGACATAAAGAAATTCGAAAGCTGGTAACGGAAATGTCATTTCTATTCGAATTTATTTTAGAAACATTCCAGAAAATATTTAACTACTTTGAAACAATAATTAGTATTTAATCACGTGTTATTATTCATAATTTATAAAAGGTTTAGACTCTTCGGTTAGTAATTAAAGGAATGTTATAAACAAGAATATTGAAAGAAAAATTGATCTTTTTAAATTATCCGCGAAAACTCGAAAACGGGTGCCATCTACAGGATCTAGTGCACACTAGTGAGCAATTTAGAATATATTTGAACGTCTTAGTTCGTAAAATAACCGGTAGGGGCGCTGGTTTGATTTTCCATTTTCCCAATAAAGTCACAACTTTTGAAACGAATTAACAAAAATGACCAAAAATGGATCACTATTTGAACTGTAGGAATTCGAAGGTTAAAATGAAACGTTTTTGGTCTGCGATTTTGTGTAAGAAACTAATTCACATCTTTTGGACATTTCAAATGCTCGTACACATTTATTGCTTATGAATTTATTGATTCATGCTTCCGTATTATGTGCTACTTAATTTTCTACAAGAGAACATCCATTACGCAATTTAATAACCAAGATATTTTTAAGATTTTTTTGTAACACATTTGCTTCGCTCTGATCACATTACAGCTCCCCATCAAAACCCTTTTGCCATTTCTACAATCAGAATTTTCATATACTATATATTATAAAAATTTCGATTTTGGTAAAAGTGCCATTTTGAACACTTCTTATAGTTCACAAAACCTTGTATTTCCAAAATCGTTGCTAAAATTTCTGTAGTAACGGGAAGGAAGTGATTGGGTATTCAAATCCTTTTAGAAAATAATACATAGAAATGGTAAAAGGATCGTTAAATATTATAACTTTTATATTTACGAAAACCATGAAAAGTTTCACAATATTTGTTAATCGCACTGAAATATCATAAAACACGTAGAATAATTTTCCCTTCATCCACTTTTTGGTAAAATCGGATTTCGTAAAATAGAAGGGCTAACCTCAATATGATCTGTCATCTAGAAAACGTTCTTACTTTCAATTAATCCTTTTAATCCTTTCTTTGGCTTAAAATAACGATCCATCCTTACCTTTGTTACTTGCAAAAGTGTTCACCATAACGAGTTATTATTATCGTTTTTTTGCTCCCAGATAGCACATAACGCCTTGAAGACGACTTAAAGACGTCTTAGACCTAAAATAGCCGTAAAAGGACGTCTTCAAGGCGTCATATGCTATCTGGGTTGCTTACTGTCGCCAAATTGTAATAGAATAAATAATAAAACAATCATTTTTTAAAGAAAACACTTTACTCCTGTTTTTTAGATTTAGTCTTGCGTACGAAATTTTGTATGTGTTCTCGCCATTTGTACCATCCTTTCTAAAAATTAACGATTCTAAAGGTTTCTAATCGCGTTTACGTCCACGGCCATGGACGTCTAATGGATCCACCAGCGCGGAACAGTATGTGGAGGTTTGGGTATCCGAATCCTGTGAACTACAACGACAACGAGCTTTTTTGCGGCGGATATGCAGGTCAGTAGCGTAACAATAAGCGTCATTTACGGAAACAAATTAACCAGTAACACAAGGATAAGTTATGTTAAGTGAAATCCCAGATAGCATATGACGCCTTGAAGACAGCTTAAGGACCCCTTAGATCTGAAATAGCCGTAAAATAGGCGTGTTTAAGGCGTCATGTGCTATCTGGGATGTAATTAAAATTAAATTTATTTAAGAGGTATCAGAGCCGTTATTCTTAGACGATTCCCAAATAGCACATGATGCCTTGAAGACGGCTTAAAGACCCCTTAGACCTAAAATAGCCGTAAAATAGACGTCTGTAAGGCGTCATGTGCTGAAGATGTTTTTATTTTCTTTTGAACCTGGTACAATAGTAAATAAAGTGAACAGATCTTGGTTTGACTGTAGTTTCTATAAGTTAGTTCCTAAACATCTATATTTGCATAAACGTCCGCAGTTTAGTAATAATATTAAGCAATAGAGATTGTCGAGATATAATATGTAACGAAAAAAAATTCGTGATGATTAAAATGATCCGGGTTCTATTCAAATTAGTTCATCGGGTAGCGGGATTGATCGATGTGTCGAAACACCAGAGTGGCCCCCAGCTGTGCTTAGGTCCGAATGAAGGACAGTGACTTTTACAAATGAGATCAAAAGAAACTCATTTAAAGGGTTCAGAAACGGTACAGCCTATCGTAATTAAGGTATACGGGGTGATCCAATATAAATTTCAAAATTTCGTGAACGTGTAGAGAACTGCTAAACTAATTGTAAGAAAAAAAATTTCTTTAGAGATTTGCTCGATTGTGCTAAATTTTGCAGAAGATCGCAAAATATGAAACAAAAAAATGTTTTTGTTTTTTCACTTATTTATTCATGTTATGATTTATTTAATATTAGAACTACCAGCATTGAATATATGCTAAGTTTAATTGTCTAATATATTGATACGTATAATATATAATGTAATATAGTTTAGTATACTATAATATACAGTGTATAAGAAATTAAAGGTTAACATAAATTCCGATGAAAGTATCTTTAAGATTTCAGTAATTGTAAAATAAAAAATCTGGAATTCGTCATTTTGAAGGGTTCGGTAGTTCGATTGTTAATGAAGAATACTTACTATACGAATAAAAAACGACAAAACGTAAATCATATTTGATCAGTTTTCAAGTATCTGGAAGCATAATTGCGTTAAAAAAATGACGGTAGCATAATTCTGGCCTTAAAGGGTTAAAATATTGTTCTTTAAACCCTTTCATTCCCAAATTACTTAACAATTACGAGAAAACATTTCTTTTTGCATTTCTGTCTATATTAGACGACATATAAATGATCCAAAAAACAATTTTTAACATTTTGGAAGCATTTAGTGCCATTATTCATTCGTTGCCATTTGGCACCTTTTTCTACTTCTATCACAGTTTTGCAATTTTGTACAATAATTGCCGTTATAAAGTTATTGTACATAATAAAACCCATTTTTCTTACCTTTGATCAGTGAACCCTCTTGAAATAGGTTGAAAGAAATTAGAGTTTTATAAGTACTTATTGTACTACTAAAAATGCTCAACACTTGAATTCCAACAAATGAAAGAAACTAAATTCTCCCTGTCAATTTAACTAGAAATCACATATTTAAGTAGAATTGTTGTTTTAGTTAAATTATCCCTGCCAATTTAACTAGAAATCACAAAGGCCAATAATGTCCTACTTTATCGATAAACTTTTAAAAGCATATGAAAATTTTTTAAGAGAACTATTATATGCTCACAAATATGAAAACATGCATGATATTAATCTTTTATTTTCCAATTTACGTTCCCATATGGTTACAGTGGAAACGAAAGGGTTAAAAATGCCACGTTGTAACACTTGCTATGTAACAGTTTATCATTCGAAGTTAAGAGATTTGGGACGATGGGCTTGTGTATGTCCGAAGGGAGTGGCAGACGATTATTCGAAAGAGTGTTAGGAAGCCGCTGATGCGCATGTTATCTGTACCTGCTTTTAATGACACCGTTTTCTCAATCGAGAATGTTTCCACTATAACTTTAAACTTACCGCAGCAAACGGTGTGAATCACCAATGTCTTCGTGTTTCCATTACCATATCGACTTATACTGCCGTTTTACACGTGAAAGATAAGTTTCGACTGTCGATACATAACCTTCATCCGAATGGAAGAACATCTCTGGCTTTTTTATTATTTCATAATGAAAAATATAATAATATATACAGGGTGGTGTATACAACTTGTTCACTCTGAATAACTTCTAAAGTATGCATTGTATGAAAAAACTTTTTATAGGAAAGGTGTATGGTTTGGAAGGATACATTATGTAATGAATATATTTTTTTTATGAGTAGAGACGTTTTGGAGATTTGAAGGTCAACTTCGTTTTTTCAAACGGAATGCTATATTTTTTATGCCGAAATATCGAAGAGCGTTAAATTTTGAGTAAAAAAGTACAGACCTTTATTAACCGTAAACCTAATAATTAACGAATAATTTCACTTTGTTTCTTGAAAATGGTCTGTGCGTAATATCAAGTTGATTGATGATAACTTCTCAAGACTGTTCAACACTGATGATAACTTTAATACTGTATAACGGACAGAGTAAGCGATTAGGATTCCATACGCAGAATCGGTTATTTATGTTGATAAACATTGTCAAGTAAACTCCGCGGTCTTACGGAAATCATTCTGGTATTGAATCTCCAACTTGATATTACTCACAGACCATTTTCAAGAAACAGAGTGAAATTATTCGTTAATTATTAGGTTTACGGTTAATAAAGGTCTGTACTTTTTTACTCAAAATTTAACGCTCTTCGATATTTCGGCATAAAAAATATAGCATTCCGTTTGAAAAAACGAAGTTGACCTTCAAATCTCCAAAACGTCTCTACTCATAAAAAAAATATATTCATTACATAATGTATCCTTCCAAACCATACACCTTTCCTATAAAAAGTTTTTTCATACAATGCATACTTTAGAAGTTATTCAGAGTGAACAATTGGCGTGGACCACCCTGTATAATAAATAATTGAAAATGTAATTTTACTATTTAACTAAATAAACAAATTGAATTTAGTACAATTGAAGTAGTAAAATATTTTAGAATTATTAATTTCAGCTGTTCTGTACTGACAAGGGCTGATTCGCGAATTGGAATGAAACTTCGTGGGTTTACAGAGTAATTCAAAGCAAAAATAACAGTGTGTTTCATTCGTACTCAATCGGGAGTGAAAACTAACCTCGAAGTCAAATAGACACTCCCACTTCTTCGCGTATAACTCTTCCCAGCTAACACATGACGCCTTGAAGACGGCTTAAAGACGCCTTGGACCTAAAATAGCTGTAAAATAGGCGTCTTTAAGGCGTCATGTGCTATCTGTGATGTGTTATGTAAACCATATTTTTCTTCGAAATATTCTGTTCCAGTTTTCGATTGACTTTGTTTTTTTTACCGAGAAATCGACTGTACGATGACATTTTATGGACCGTGAATAAAACGTACCCAATGCCGAATACTGTTAATGATTCTTAATGATCGCGTGTGTAATTGCAGGTCATTGTTTTTTCTGGTTTACGTAAACAGAAGCGTACAAGTGGTTGCATTGAAAGGAAAGGCAAAGACAGTGACCTTGAAATGTATTCTGATTCTTTTTGCCCTATAATGAAACCACACTCATTATGCAATCCTTTTTCTCGAAACTTTCGTATCTTGACTTTCATCTGAAACGTGTCATTTTGTCGATTAAAACACGACAGCCTGTATGTACAGTGGATTAAGAAAGTTACAGTACACCTCGTACAAAATTATTTCATTCTTCATGATTTTCAAGACAATAGGATAATATTGTATATTTTTCGTCGCTCCAGTTCTTAAGGGGTTACATACTTTTGAGCTGTTAAATAAGAGGGAAAATTAAAAATTTTTTTTCTATGTGCAGAATTATTGTTTATTAAAAATTCAACGTGTACGTCTTATTATATGTTATTTGCTTAGTAATTTATGAAAAATGAATCTATATATCTATCAACAGAAGAAAATGGCTGCCATTTGAAAGCGTTTTACTCGAAATGCAGTTTCCAAAATTGGTACCAGAAATATTTAAAAAACTACTGAAGGAATTTGGATCAAACTTTGTGGTAATATTTTTAAGATTAAAGTCTAGTACTTGGCAAGCGAATTTTTCATTCATACATTTCTTTTCTTTTTAATAACAAAAGAAGTTGAATATTTATGTCGAAAATTGTAAGTTTAAGTTCAAACAGCTCCAATTTTTTAAAATATTGTTATTTTCAAAATCGGCTTCGGTGAGTACTAGTTCCCTTTGTCTACTTTAATATAAATTTAAAAAAACTTCTTTCGGAGAAAAGTTCACAGAGATCTATCTAGTACCGCAAATGGCATTTTAATGAAACAGGTTATAATGAAATGGCAACCATTTTCTTCTCTTGATAGATATATAGCTCAATTTTTCAGAAAATGCTAAAGAAATAACATTTAATAAGATGTATATGTTGACTTTTTAATAAATAATAATTCTGCACATAAAAAAAAATTTTTTACTTTTCTCTCTTATTTAAAAGCTCAAAGGTATGTAACTGAAGGTATGAAAACTGAGTTTAATGTTTACGAAGTTTAATATTATAGAAGCAATTAAGTAGTGGAATAATTAAACACACTACAATATCATTTACTGAATAGCTATTTATTACAATATTTAATAAAATTTCATCTGCTTATCAATATAAATTTTCAACTGTTGCTAGTATTTGGAGATAGAACCTAGAAGAAAGAACTTTCAATGTTTCGGAGTTAGGACTTAGAAGAAATATCTGTTGCTTTTTAGGGTGAATTTTCTTTATATTATCCTGAAATTCTTTGGTGCAATGAGATGCACGTACATTGATTAACTAAATTTTTTTGAAAAATGTAGTTAGAACGGTTAAGAACTCGGGCGACAATTTATTGTGGACCTTCTAAAAATGTCTTAGTCCTTCATTGGTCTCGCCAAAATTACGAAGAACGTAGATTTATTAAAAGTGAAATTATTCTACATATTTACAAAATTTGTTAGTTAATTGTAAGGATTTTTTTCAGAAAGAGGCTTTTAGAAACCGACCCTAAAATCAAAATTTATATCGACAGTACTAAATACTTTGTTTCGACAATCTTAAATAATTATATTTTATTATTACTTTAACCATTCCATATTATTACTTTATTTCTTATGGTTATGTTTAATTTATTAATATTACTATGATAATAAACATACCATACAAATATTAAGAAAAAAATTTAGCAATTTTTTTCAGCCAATTTATATTCCCAGATAGCACATGATGCCTTGAAGACGCCAATTTTACGGCTATTTGAGGTCTAGACGCCTTTAAGCCGTCTTCAAGGTGTCATTAGACGTCATGTCCTATCTGGGTTACTAACTTCTGTTTTTTAACATTGCGGTTATGAAAGTGGAATTCCATGGGATTAGCTGAATAATTTTTTCACCACTATTTCTTCTCTCACCTGGGTATCTAATTTTGCATAGAATAAAAAATCATACTTATAAAAAACGTATTATTTCACTACTTGGTCTTTACTCGGACTAGAGGGTCCTTTCAACAACTACAAGAATGAAAGAGGACCAGCAACGTTATATTGTTTAAAAAAAATAGATACAACATTTTTTTATATACCATAAAGCATATAAAATAAAGCCCTTCAAACAGTTTTTTTATTTGTCTCATAATTTCACCAAAAAAGATTCTGGAACTTATACATATGATTTTTGGACCTCCAAGGTGATCTAACCCCTTAATGGGTTAATAAAATATGGAATGAAATAAACGAAATGAGGTTAAATAATTTGATATCTTCGTCTAGAATCTAGAATAATGTAATATAAATTTTGAAACAATTTTTTTTTACACAAGTACTATTCTTCAGTGCAATGGGTGCAGAACAACGGACAATGCGGGATTTGTGGTGATCCTTACCACTTTCAAGATCCAAAACCACACGAGGCGGGCGGTGAATACGCGAAAGGAACTATTGTCAGACATTACACATCTGGTCAGGTAATTTGATTTTATTAGGTAGGATTGATGGACTAGTAAATGAACATGTACCAATGAATGAACATTATATATAAAAACGAGTAAATTCAGTTATTAAAATAAGCAAATGATTGAATATGACTTTTTTCAATTCCTTGTTTCGTATGCAAGCAATTTTCGTGCCATTAGTTAAAAATGTTTATTTACTAAGTATTGTTCATACACTGGTGAAATATGTATTTTTTCTTTTTAATTTATTTAATCACAATTTCCAATTTTTCAAATTGAAATCTATACATTATAAAAAAGTACAGGTATTAAGAAATGTAACTTTTATGTGTTGAATATTCATTAATATTATTACCATTTAAATTTCGCTTTTAATAGTTACAAAAGCTCTTAAGTGTTCAGTCATTGGTGCGTATACCCTATACAAAACAAGCAATTCACTATATTTTATCAAATCCAGTACTTATTTTCTAAAAAACCTATTACTATTTTGTGGACCGTCCTCATTCTTCAAGACTGATCGCCATATTTAAAGATGAAAAATAGCAGAAAGGTATTTTAAATTTGAACTATGTTACCAATTTATGAAAAATAAATAGTGGATTACATATTGGTACACCTAATATTTCGTCCTTTACCGTTATAGTAATCCGGTGAAGCGGAATTGTCATTTATTTATTACATAGGTTCTATTTTGTAGGAAATCGATGTCGAAGTTGAGCTTACGGCGAATCATTTAGGAAGATTCGAACTGTATCTTTGTCCAAACAATAATCCAAGAAACGAGGCAACCCAAGAATGTTTCGATAGGTAATAAAAGTTCCATTAACTCTGTTCAGTGCATTTCATACCTAGATAGCACATGGCACCCAATGACGCCTTGAAGACAGCTTAAAGGCGCCATAGACCTAAAATAGCCGTAAAATGGGCGTGTTCAAGGCGTACTAGCTATCTGGTTATTCATCCGATATAATCAAGTTTTGGTGAATCCTATAAGACATAGCATTCATCCCCAATATCTCATAAAATTAGCATACCTTCCTATCCCGATAGCACATGACGCCTTGAAAACGTCCGTTTTACGGCTATTTTAGGTCTAGGGCGCCTGTAAGCCGTCTTCAAGACGTCATGTGCTATCTGGGTATTAGATCGTCACTATCCAATGCATGTTCGCAGTGGTAGTAATTTAATTGAGTGCTGTAGGGAGATGTTGGTCCATTTTATTACGTTCGGATAGTATTGCTAGATAAGATATAACGCAATTGTAAGGTTCACACTCAATAAATGGCTCTTACTGACACACCGGAACGGTGGACTATGTACAGCTATGTAGAGTTGGACAAAAATGACTAGAAATACAAAATACAACGTAGTATTTAAAATAATGAATCATTTAAATAGTTTATACAGAGTAATATTTTAAATAATGAATCGTTTAAATAATTTGTACAGAGTAATATTTAAATCAATTAATCATTTAAATAGTTCTTTTTATTTTTATTTTGAAGACAATTGGGAAAAAAAACTTTATCTCGTGTAAAGATCAAATAAATCATTTGACAACATGTTTCTATTACAGTTAATTGTTACAAATGAATTAACAGATAATTCTAAGGTTTATATATGGTACCTTTATCGCACAAAGCTCAGTCTAATTAAGGTAGAGTAACTACGTTGTCTTATGAAATAAAAGATTACTCCGATTTCAATTGTTTTTTTGCCGTAAACCTATTATTATTATAATTACAGAAGGATTGCATTGTAATTAATGTTCACGAATTCGATTCTGTCGGAAACGAAGCATCATAAAACAAATTTTGATTCTAGACTTTGGACTTTTGTTTGCAAACAGAATAACCTCTTGTCCGGTTGTACCACCTTGTATACAGGCTGTCTCAAAATAGTTTTAACTCCCGGAACTGAGGGGTTCCTGGCATGATTTGTAACAACTTTTTCCTCAGCAAAAATGGTATCCGTGGCTTTGTTAACGAGATATTAACGAAAAATCCCGACCAATCAGAGCGCGAGTCTGCCGGCCGAGCTTCCGCAGTAGCGTTGGTTACGCGCCGCGATTGAATTCGACCGACAGACTCGCGCTCTGATTGGACGGGGTTTTTCGTTAATATCTCGTTAACAAAGCCACGGATAACATTTTTGCTAAGGAAAAAGATGTTCCAAATCATCCCAGGAACCCCTAATTTCCGGGAGTGAAAGCTATTTTGGAACACCCTGTATAGCGTAATATGTTAAAATAATTTTCGTTTTGTTAAGGTATCCTTTGTATGTTTCCGGAACTCGGGACGTTCGCTTTGAGATTCCTTTAGACACTGAGAAAAAAGCTATATTTCGATACAGGGTATCTTTACCAGCATACGTTACTTGTTCTCAATGTGTGATACAATGGAATTACTATACAGGTTAGTATCGTTGTATTTATGTATTTATTTGCTTAATTATATTACCAAATTATTATCAGGGAATATGTGGGGTATTTGCGAGAATGGAACGGAAGCCAGTGGTTGTGGAAGACCTGAAACATTTCGAAATTGTGCGGACGTCAGCATCGTTACGAGTACAGCTGGAGTGCCACCCCTCTTTGTGCAACAGGACAATCCCTTTCTGCTCTATTACAAGGACTATCGTTCTCCAAATAATATATTTCCACTTGTTGTTAGGTGAGCTTTTATTCCATCTCTCATCACCGACTAGGTATAAGAACAGACCATTCATCCAATGTGTTTCTTCGGCCCACTTTTCTGGGGCAATGTTGCCCCATTTCCATTTTACTGTCACTACCCACCTCAGATTCGCCGTTCTTATGACGTAGAGGTCACTAAAATCACAGGCTTTTTAAGGTGTTGGTACTACAGTTCATATGGGCCACCAACTCCCATAAGATGAAAGGCCTATTTACCTCGTCGGTGCTCCCATATATCTACGGAAATCACGTGAATCTATCAGGTCATCCTATGAGTTACACAAACGAGAATGGTAGAATAAAAACCTGAATAATTGTCCATAAGGTGTCTTTAAGACGTCCATATCTGGTCGTAAGACGTTCATGCCTAAAATGGACATACCACAGAAATTTGTAAGACGTCGTATGGCTGTTTGGTGTACATACCCAGATAGCACATGACGTTTTGAAAACGCCCATTTTACGACTATTTCAGGTCTAAGACGTCTTTAAGCCGTTTTTAGGACGTCATTCGGCGTCATGTGATATCTGGGATATGATATACATATTTCAATGGACGTTATACTACTTTAGTATAGAATGGTAGAATAGATATCTTATCACACAGACTCCAATGTAGCTAGTAGAGAATAGAGACAGAAATTTACATAAATAAAGTGAGGATCCTAACGATGGACCTTCCAGTCCTGGTTATACCCTATCGGCCAGTTCCTGTTTTACCCACAGGTATTACCGGTGTCAGATATTACCGACAGACCCGAAGCATATCCAATGAGAACGTTTGTCATTTGGTTTTCGATTTGTAAAAAAGAACTGTAGAATAGACGTTCAGTCGTGCGACACAGCTACATATAGGGTGGGCTACATATGCGCACTTTACGGTTACATTAATTACCTCCGTTATTTTTAGAGATATCAGAAAAGTTTATTCACAGATGTTGTTCAGTATGAAGCGGCTTATTACTTAGCAGTAACAAGTTTTTCGTAGGTGGAGTATCTTCTAAGTTTTCAAAGTTAATTATGTCATTTTTATTAATGATATTGAAATATTATGGAATACAATACTTTTATTACATAAATCAATTCTTCCAAACATTCTGCGTAATAAAGTATTAAGGTATTATATGAAAATGATCATAATTAGTGACATATTTTAGTGGCAAATGTCTAGCTTGGTTAGCATCTTTTACCCATTACGTGTGATCCGCGAGACAAGAAGCTATCAAATTGCCACCAATATTCATTCAACTAATATTCATTGCACCAATAAAAACATTATTAAAACAATATTATATACACTTCGCTTTCTGTAGTGAAATATACGAGTGAAACGCGACACCGTATGTATTCCGTCCTGGGCATGCTGGACGACAGAGTAGGGTGCGCGCAGGTGTGTGAAAAATACGTGTGAGCAAGGGGCGTGGCTTCTGTGCATATAACGGTTGCGCAGGAAACGAATGTCTACTGTACTGCATAACCAATTCTATCCATGGACATGCTTGCATTAGACGATGGAATTGAACAAATGTACAAGCGGAGAACACTGACAGTTCTTTTAATTGCAGATCTCAGATTTGTGTACCGACTCCTCTTTACCGACGCATACCAGGAATGGGAGATTGGTGTCAAAATAATTGCCTTCGTTATCCACCGAACTGTCCATCACCTATCTGCCAATGTCCGTAAGTTGTCATGTTAAATTGAATTTAAGAAATTCTCTATCCTTAATTACATATGCTTGTTAATAATAATAGGAAACTGCAATTTATTAAGAATATATTTTTTTAGCGTTATAAGCATTTATTTTCTTCGAACAGACTTTTTCCGTGGATATAGTGGTCGCAAACGTACTTTTCCAAATATTTCGGTTCTCTAGGTGTATTTACATTTTAAAAAGTGATAAGTACCTAATGCAAAAATTTAATTATCAGTTTTCAGTTTACCATATTTTTTTACTATTCAAAGGGGTATTTCTTCCTGGAGTATGTAAATTGATCTAGTGTTTAAACTAACGAGGAAAATTAATAAACTGCATTTCATTTTTAAACAGGGATGTATGTGATGCAATTGGAGAAATAGCTGGCAAAGATGGAGCAAGTGTTTACTGTATGGATAAATGCCTAGTCCACCCGCCCAACTGCCCGTCTCATCGTTGCCGTTGTTATTGAGCAAATTAAGGTATAAAATCGAAAAGCTAAACATTCTTTTTACGAATATTGAATGATGCGGTTATAATTTTGGTTTTTTCATTCATTTATTTCATGATCTTAAAATTTGAATTAATTTTTTTGTTTTCAGTGAGAAGACCTACGAAACAGGTAGAAAGTACATAATTACTGTATCCGTCGTTTATAAGGAATTAAGTTGCAGATAGCAGTTACGACAAGTGTATTCGAAAGTAGATCTCCACTTTTACACAGACAACGCCGTCCACAAGAGTGATCGCTTTATTTTGTACTAATTTAATACTATACCTTAAGTTCGTAAATAATACATAATGTTTAAACAATTTTGTAAAATATACATCCTATAGATTATACAATAAATCTACGTGTGCAATTAAATGTGAAAATGAAAGAATTCATTTCAATGTTGAAATCACTATCAAAACTTTACCGCCATAAAATAAATCGTACCTTCAGAATGGATCGAAGAAACACATTTTGTTTTTATTAATGACACGATAATCAATACCATTACTAGATATTTGGTGTAAGTGAGACGATTTTTACATATTAGATAAGTAAACACATAAAAATTGATGACCACTAGTGTTCAACCCTAGCCCAGGTAAAATGGGCGTCTTTAAGGTGTCATGTGCTATTTGGGAGTAAATATACATATTGTAAATCATTAAAATAATATTTTTGTAGCAACATGTTCCATAAATACTCCTTACCGCCTTCTTCCGTTATGCTAGAGCATGTACAATCGTCAGTCTTGGTCAATTCGAATTCGATAGTTGCACGAGCAACAACCAACGGAGTTCGACAGTTGCACGAACAACAGCAATAAAGGACCACGTTCCAACTGCATGTTGGCTCAAGTCATTTCACTATCGTTTACTCTGCCGTCACCCACGTGTAATAACAACAGATTGAATCTGGCAGAGGAATACTGCAATTTATTACACACATCTATCGTTTGCCACCAGAAAAAGAAATTTCAGCGACAAGCTTACGAAATCTTTATGATGCTTTGAAGATCGTACGGAAGATTTGCAAGTTACAGAAGAGGGAATTATTTTCTATGGATAAATGATATTGCTTGATAAGCCTAAATAATATTTAAGCCTACTTTTACAGAGTTTATACAATTTATATGTGTTATTATTATATGTATATTGAAAACTTGTACATATAAGTAGTATTTAATGCAACTATTGTTAAAGTTGTACAAATGTTATTGTAAATTGTAAATTTTTTTACGATTGTTTCAATTAAAACAGTTTGATGGTAAATTTGCATTATTTATTAAGCCATTTTTGTATAAATACATAAATAATAATTGCTAAATTTAGTTAAAATCGCGTAAAAATTAGATTTTAAGTACACTTTCGGGCGAAATTTATTACGGGCGTATAATACAAAACGTGCGTCGACACGTCCAACGTCCGTTCTAACATAAATACGTCGATGAGAAATTAACGGACGTTGCACCGTACGTTGACAGTGACCCATGTTCCTAGTACGTGGGTTCTAATACACGACAATATACAGGGTGATATTTTGGTATAACATTTTCTCATCCGGGGCTCCGTTTTCGAGAAAATCGACTTTAATGTTTGTTCAACTTCTAAACGCTTTAATACAATTTGCTTGTTTTGTATTCCACTACTGCGGTTGTCTCTGTCCGGGACAGTGTTTACAAACATTGATGATTGTGTGGATAAAACAATACAAAGTGTTTCTACTGATTACTCATTTTTTATTCTTTTTTACTACTCATACACGATAAGTAAATTGTACTAAATCGTTTACAAGTTGAACAAATTTTAAAGTTGATTTTCTCGAAAACGGAGCCTCGGATGAGAAAAGAAAATGTTATACAAAAATATTTTCTTCTTTTTTAACGTAGAATCACCCACTGTCCGGTTGTACTACGATTTCCGGCCCACCCTGTATGTCTACAACGGGCGTCGTTTTGACGCTGGTGTCTCCAACCTAATACATACGAGCAATTGCACGAGCTACAGTTATATCCGTGAAATTTGACGTCCGTGCGCAACAGTGAGGAAGGGGAGAAACGTCAAGACGTCCGTCAACCATAGCGGCACGGACGTTGCCATCGTTCGTTCTCGGTGAATCCTTTATACTTTATACGATGGATATTGAAATTTTAATATCTGAGGTTGCAAAACATCCTATTTTATGGGACGTTTCAAACTATGAGTACAAAGATAAAATAAGAAGAAACGAAGTGTGGTCAAATGTGGCGGCTACAGTAAGTCAGAATTTCAAACAGAACACCGAAACGGAGAAAAAGATTATTGGTAAGTAAAAAAACAACGGGTTATACGTTTTTAAAGACTTTTTGCTTCTTTCATAAATATACAATAAACTTAAAGAGGATAATTTTTAATAATATCACATTCACAGCTTTGTAACGTTTTAATATCATATTCACAGTGTTGCCAATTCTTTTTATAGTACAAGAAGTCATTTCCAAATGGAGGAGTGTTCGAGACAATTATATCCGTAGTTTAAGAAAACAAGATGAAAATATTAAATTGGGTTCTGCTACAAAGAAAATATGGCGATATGTGTACGAAGATCAGTTGGCATTTTTGAAAAAGTGTCGAGAACCACGACCTACCAGTAGTAGCACAGAAATGGAAGGTGCACGAGTAAAGACCGACTCCGAACAAAGTACAGATAATGAATTAGAAATAACCGAAGCAAATGTGGCTGACAATGAAAGTACCGATAACTTTAAACACCAACCACGAAAGAAATTAAAACGAATTAATTTGAACGAAAAGTTTGTTGATGTCTTAGAATCGAAACGATGGAATGACGATGATGAAGATATGGCATTTTACAGATCGACATTACCAATGATTAAAACATTCACCACCGACGAAAAAGTACAGTTTAGAATAAAAGTCATGGAATTAATTCAAGATATTCGAAAACCATCCATTTGACACATGTACGAGACTTACGTCAGATTTATCACCAGTAAGACATCATTTCCACAATACATCTATTGCAGCACATTATGCAAAATATTAATATGTGTGAGCCAAGTTATGAAAACTTACAGTACCCTTTCCCACCATTTATACACATATTTCAGAAAATTCTTGTCACAATGAAAATGCATCGTCAAACGGGTCACAGTATTAATTGTTATACTAACACATTACTGAATAATTATAGTACTATATTATTTTTATATTATCATGTTAATTTGTATTAATATTAACTGTTTTGCTTGTATTAATGAAAACACTATTTTTCTACTCACTTTAGTGTAACAGCCTAGCATTTCCTGAGGTAGTATTGTACCTACATCTCAAGTTTGTGTCCTCACGTATTATTTTGTCAAGTAATTCATAAAATCATGATTTGGACATACGGAAATAATAAAAAAACTTTGCTTCATCAATTCGAAACTGACTGTAAATAGCTGTCCTATACGGTAATCGCGTACATTTTAGTGTACTGGTGTATTAGCTACTAGAAACGCTTTTAAAATTTTTTTGTTAAGGAATCTTTACTTGAACTTCCACAAATTAACTATAGCTCATCTTTACGAATTTTTTTTTACAAAAGTATGAGCCAAACTTTTTTGAAATTCTGTATACACTAAATCCTCGATGACTGTTCCATGGCTTCTCGTCACTGACAAAGAGATCCTCAGGTGTAACGTTGGCTTTTTAATGAGGTTTGGCATGGTGATAGAGCTTGAAATTCTGAAGCCAATAATATCTTTTACAGTCGCATATGGCCATTAGTTTACGAAATATTTAATGTTCAGTGCCGACGAGCCGTCGAACACTCTGCGAGGATTTTCCTGTATACTTGAATGCTCTTTTTTTTAGTAAACAGTGGAACATGGCGTCTGTAGACTGCTGCGCGTACCGAAACTATCGATTTAAGGTGGCTTATATTTAGGATAAATTTCTAAGAATACTGAACATGAAGTCAATAAAAAAGAAAGCAAAAAAGAGATTTCAATTTTAGATGAACTTTTCGATATTTATGATGATAAAATATTGTTTAAAAGACTTCTCAAGTTTTTTCTAGGTTATGTACTCGTTTGCAATCTGTACCTGTTCACCATAATAGAATATTTTTATGCGAATTAATTTTTAATAAAGTATATTTATACATACTTTATGATCTCTAGAAAATATTTTGTGTTTCATTTAAAGGTGCTTAAATACTATTGAAATGGTTATATTTTTATCTCAAAAAATAATGTTATCTGCTACATTAGTCTATATACACACAGTAGTGTAATGTAGTGAAGCAGTTTTTAAATAAGAAAGGAATAGAAGTCACATGGAAAATTATAAGATTAAATGGAGTGCATGATATGAATTAAAATTCACAAGACATTAGCGGTGACCTGGTATGACATGCTAGAAGTAAACAGATAATTAATAAAAATCTAGTTCCAGGTAAGCATGTAAATTCATATCTCTAATATTTATTTATCTCTGCTTATATATAAAACGATTCTAGTAATATACAGAGTTTCTACACTTGCTTAGCACTCTTTTATCAATACATTCTACATTGAAATTTGTATTTTGATAGAAAGAGTTTAATGCTCAAACAACCAAGTAAATATATTAATATCATTTGACATAATGTAGACATTGAACAGTATGTAAATAATTACAAACATCAATTGACTAGTATTTTCGAGAATCCTAAAAATATCTATTAACTTTAAAAAATTCTAGTTCGGAAATATATATTTTTGTATTTAATTAGTTCTAGTAGTGAACTAAAAATTTATTATTCTATTGGCAGTATTCAATCTATATTTTTTTCTGGATAAGTTTGTTTAAAACTTCTATCAATGGTATGTATAAAAGCTACAGGATCAAAATGAAGCTGACCTAAATTATAATACCTCTCTTCATTTTGGTACCATTTTTTTAAATTAAAATCTTTGAAAAATATTGCTATTTCCCTTTCTGCAGATTGTATGGAATCTAAGAAAAGTAATATTGCATTACAACTGTAAATACTGCAAAGACAATTTGTTATGAAAATAATTATACCTGATCCATGTGTTGCATTTCTTGTATCTGATAAACCAAACATTCCTCGAATTGTATTAGGATCAGTATATTGAGCTCGATAAACTTTGGTAGGACCCATTAGTTTTCTCCATTTGGCAATAGCATCGTACTTGGCTAAGATATGAATATCAGATGGGCCACTGCACATGAATGTCAAAAGACGATGATAAAAAAACTTTTCTTTATGCTCTTTATAAAATAGTTCCGCTTCTTTTGGAGTGATTATTGTTCTGTGCGATCTGACAATTTTGAAATTATTGTCAATTATTAGATCTCGAATTTTCTGAAAATTACGACGATGCTCAAGTGGTAATATAATGGTTTTAATAAAATATATATACATCCTATTAACCCTGCTTTATGCCGCTTAAACTGATGTATAAGTTTTGAGGTTACATAAAATTTCGGTTCCTTTTTACCTGGAGCACAAAGGGAGATTTAACAACATGTGGCTTAATTATTGCCAATGTTAGCTGCAAATGCTTTTGTAATTGCATCTTGTCATTTTTTAAAACTATTCTTATTCAATTTCATAATGCAATAAAAACGATTTAAAACCTCAAAACTAAGAAACACCACATGTTCCTCCGACATAACCCCGTAAATGAAACTCAAAATATAGTTGCATACAAATTCAATTATTCTAACCACACATTTCTGTGCTTTCGTATAGGGTGTTCAAAAAATATATGGCAAATCAAAATATACATATTCCTCGTATAAACACAATCCATCACCATTTTGCAACCTCGAACTTCGTTTCAAAACTGTTAACTAGTGAAAATTAGCAATCCAACTTCCGGAGCGCGCTATTTGAGACTCAAGAGTCAAATGAATGTTACCACGCATAAAAGCAAGAAGATACATGCATATAGGTATAGACTATAGCACATGTTTACGCATGCTATAACAAACCTTTCTCATTGAGTATTGAGATCTGAGAGGATGCACGTTCTTTAGCACTGTTTAGCATGCGTGTAAATGCAACGCAGTACAGGCACTGTGCTATAGTTTCATTGTGTGAGCTTGTAACTGAAAGATTTCGCATGTTTCTCCTGCATACTGACTTATCTATATTATTTTTCCATGAAGAATCATCATTCTGAATGTTTTAGCAATAATAGCAGACCACCAATTGCACAACGTCAGTGTTTACCATAAGTAGAATTAGTCAGCATTGGCTAAACAAATATTATCCAATTGTATTCTGAACACTAACGTTTGCACTTTGCGTTCGACGAAGTTTGTAATATGAATTTTCTTGTAAGCGGAGTTTCATAGAAGAAAAACGCATCTTACACTTTAGATTTGTTCCTTTTTTATGTGTTATACATATATCACCTTTTTTTGCCTTTACCTTCAATTACGCACTAACACATATTTAACTGTAACGAATTGAGTTTTTTGCATTATATAATATGCAGCCTTAAATATACTACTACCTACAGAGTACTCTTTTTTAAATAAAAATTACACAGTTTGAAAAATATACATGAAAATTACAAAGTTCTTATAACAAAAATTGTATTCATCCATTTTACAAAATTTTATATATATTTACATGTACTTATGTATATATACACATAATTTGGAATAAATATTTGTTTATACGTTGGTATAGTTTTTATAAGTGCAAATCTCATACGTATTAAAAACTGATTAATGTATAGCAATAGCTTCGCTATTTACATTATTATTTACCTATTACGCTATCTACGTATTCGTTTACTACTTCTTGCGACGTTGTGGTGTATGTTTTGTTCATACAAGCATATACTTCCTCTTTGAGCTTTGGAAGATCGTCCATCGTTAAGCCTTCAGTAGAAATGGGAGGTAAAATCGTAATGTAACTGTTACCTGAAAGATAATGTCACGTATTGAATTTATCCTGACTTCACAGAGAAGTATTTAATTAAAACATAGTCAAATAAAATATATGTATGTTTGTTGTAATTAAAGATGAAGAACGTCACAAAACAGCAATGGCGGCGCGTCATGTCACATGATGGACCTTTCATTGGTCCATTTTCCAATGGCCAAGAGTGTATTTTCTTGCAATAAGCCTGGACATAAAATGTCTTTTCTCCATTCTTATAAACAAAAGGCTATACTAAATCTCTGTACACTCAAACAACAATATATATCACTGAATTTATTTTTCTTTTCAATCACAATAGCATAATAAAAAAGTGAAAATTGTAAAATGCCTGTTTTTACTCAGGAATTAATAGATTATCTTACTAACGAATATCTAATGTTGTAGTATATATGTTTCTGCAAAAGTCACGTGGTTTTGTTGTGACATGCGCTATCTTTAAGTGGAACAAACATAACCAGAAACTGATCTCAGGATAATTAATTTAGTATTATGAACCTGAATTAAATGTCTTCGCTTTAGAATTCAAAAAGTAGTATTTGGAGACAACAACCGGTTGAATCGGCAGCTGTGTTGCGATCGCAATATGGAACGCGCCTTTCTTAAAAGGCAATAACGTAGAACCGGAGTGTCGATGGCCTTCCGGGAATAAGAAAAGGTTTGCCTAAGAAAGACATACATGAAACAGTTAGGACAAAAAAATCATTTTCACTTTTGATATTTCCAATTATCGCATACGATACTTCGAATATACCTTTAAATGCTTGACGGTTTTCCCCGCGTCGTTCAAAATGTCTTGAGCCTCTTTGCTTCTCTTTCTGTCAATAAAGATGGTGCCCCAGAGCCAGGTTGTGATACCAAACAATCCGAAGTACAATATCTCCTTTTTCGCGATAACCGTGCCCCTTTTTAATAACGGCCACAGTTCAGCTAAAACTAAATATTTTAAATAAGGTTAACACAAAATCTGTATTTTTTTCTTTCACAAAACGGCGAACGAGTACAGTAAAGTCGCTTTAACCGCGCGGAAAGGTCTCTACGTTAACCTGGGGGCTTTGAAACCATTCGCTGCTGACATTACATTGTATTTAGAAAGGCGAACTAGGTCGGGTTACGTTGAAAGGGTGACCGTCCACGCTTACTGTGCGCATGCAGTCCTGAGTTTCGCGCAGTTAACGCGACTTTATTGTATTTACTACGTAATTTCTAACACAGATTCGTACGAAGTATATTTACCGCATAAGTCAACTACACTTTGATGATTGATTAGAACTATACTGCCAGAATTTTTAACGATGTTCTCTTTCCCGCGAACATGAAACTTCACTCCTAGGAATTTAATAATTTGTTTTATAACATACGCGACAGGTCTGGAAAAATTGATTAAACTTTCAATGTTCCCATAGTTTGTATCCTTGACGTATCGTACTTTGTTTTGATTATCAGACTTACAGCGCGTTTCGCCAATCTCGGATTCTTAGTAGCATGAAAGGCATACATACGGTCGGTACTATGGCAATGGCTGTTGTAAGATAGGTAAATTTAATATGATATCTGACCCTCTCAAGAGAGGCAATCGATGTCACGAAAGTGAGAATGCCTACAAGTCCGATACTGTAATAAATAATCGTTTGTAATCTGAAATTATAAAAAAAAAATTTTCACGGCCTTAATCCGATGTAATGAACAAAATATTACCTCATGTAGGTTAAATTTTCTTTCACGAACTTTATACATTGATTTTAAGGAATAGGTGTTTCAGTTGCGAACAATGTTCTTTTCCTTTGTACATGATGTTTTTTATAGGAGGTTTAGAACTTTCCAGGATTGGTAGTACTCACTAAATTGACTAGGGAACTTCGGTAACTTGAACATTCTGATTTTGTTGAAATGTTGCAGGTTTGTAGAGGACCTCATTAGAAGTATCAGGCAATTTTTATTGGAACCTTGGTTCTTCATGGGAAACCACCCCTTTAGCGGCCCGAAAAAGAGGAATATTTAGGAATTTTTTAAAAGAATGCAAACAATATATGATAAACAATCTTTCAGGCCTTTATTTGTTATCCGTTCAAATAAATAAAACAAAACTTTGTTTCAATATTCGTGCAGCGTGGCAAATTGTAGATGACACTAATCGTGTTGGTCCAAAATTGCACTATACAAACGGTGCCCACGATATCTCAATGTAGAGAAGTGTGAAATTAAAATTTCAAAAAGATTGTTGAATGGAACTCCAACGTCTATCGCACGACCTACCATGAAATCGAAAAAATAAAATGGCCGCATTTGGTATGAGTTTCAACAAAGACGTGCAAAGAAGGGAGCGAATTTTACGTATGTCATTGTGAATAACAAAAGAATTTATGCTTTAAAATGTTCAATAGTACGTCATACGATAGCTAATTCGATTACAAAAAGAATGCGATAAGAATTTTTAACATCGGTTAATAACTTTTTTCGTTATAATGGACACCGTTTGTATACAGTGCAATTTCAGATCAGCACAACAATTTTTGTTTATTTACCTGAATGTATAATAAATAAAGGCCAGGAAGTTAAACCATATCTTCTTTGCTTTCTTTAAAAAAAAGTCCTAAGTGTCACTTTTTTTCCGGCCGCTAAATAGGAAAGGGAGCTTAAAGCAAAGATATCCAACTACTACACACGAAAAAATCTTTCCTTCGGTAGGTACTCCCACTATGGGGTCAGGTTAACACGATAGAGCCGTGGCGTGAAAGCTATTGGTAGGGGACACTCGAGCGAGTCAATCCACCATAGTGGGGGTACCTCCGGAGGGGAAGATTTACTCGTGAGCAGCAGATGGATACCTTTGATTTAAAGGTTAACGTGTGGTTTCCTATTTTCCTGTCGGTATATCTTGACAACTACATTAAATATTTATTTAAACAAGTTGCTGTTCTAATAGACGGTACATACGCACGAGTATCTAGATATTAAAGTGGCTTGAAAATCGAAGTTTCTGAGATTGTACTTGAATTTCGTAAAGCATTACTGCGGTGCGATGGTTTGCAAGGTTACACAAAGGAATAGTTCTATTAATAGTTAGGAAATTTTATTTTTACATATACTAGTTCCACAACTAGGTTACTGGGGATCGACTAGCGACGAAAGATATGTCAGCCCGGCTGGTGCTGCATATTACCGTAGACATGCGATAAGTGCACCTCCTGAGACGCCTAATATATTTCGAATATCGATAATTTTCGATTCAAATATCGATATTTTGTATCGATACTTAATGTGGTGATATATTACAGTATTGATACTTAACCAATAAATATCGACACTTCAATACAATCGTTGTATTAGCCGTAACGTAACAGGTCATAAGGAAAACGAACCAATATCGCAAGGTTCACATAAAGTTTGTGTATGGTCGATTTTTTCCACACTGTTACCTAAGATTCTGCCTCAGTAAATATCCGCTGGAATAAATGATTTAGTTTAATTTTTGGATTTTACTACTTCTAATGTAATTGCAAGTATGTACAAACGATATGTACAATTTTCTTTTATTATTTTTTTTTGTCTTCTAACATCCTCAGTATATTTCGGTATATCTTCCTATCTCCCAAAGCAAGTTCTCGTATAATAGTAGCTGATGTTCCACGGACAGGTCGCCTTTGTATCCACTCTCTAACCAACCAATGACGTTTGTTTTTTGTTAATTTTCCGACTAATGGTTTTTTTCAACTCGCCTAACAAACTCATTGCAATTGATGTTGCACGTACAACCTTTTTACGTAGGACATTATTAACCATCTTAACGAATAAAAAAATCGAACGACGTAGCCTTCTACAGAGTAAACCTTTTAATCGAACGACTTCAAACCGACCAAAAGTTGCCTAGCGTAAACGCCGTTTAAATCGCCGCTTCCTGGAAAACTGGGGCGACTTCTCGAATGTCTACTGTACAAAGAGGTGGAGGGGGAATATCCGTAGCCCTCTTGCGGCTGAAAATAGTAGCTTTTTCGTGGATTTTACAGTTTTCTCCGATACCAAGGTGACGTCACTCTAGTTGATGATTATTTCTTACATTTCGTATTATACGGCGAAATATCAAGCGGAAAACTGTATGGTTGTTTCATGTTTTCTAACACTTCCAATACTTTTACCCTGAATGACAACTTTTCGTTTGCGTTGAATGTACGTATAGTTGGAAGTATTAATCCATAGAATGCTGTGTCACTGTCGTAGTCTTTCCGGTGCATGCAGTCGTGTCTCCTTTTTCTGTGACTAGTCTCCTGCGGTTGCTGTTGTGGCGGATCATTGATAAAAGTCGAATCTTCGTTCACTCTCGTACTACTACTCGTACCACTACTATTACTACTATTGCTATTGTTGATCCGTGGTTCACTTAAAAACGTTAAAAGTGACCAATTCGAATGCTGTATAGACCCGGGTGTAGCATTGTTTAGTTTGCAAAAATAGCTTTGCCGAAGTTTGTTCCATTTAAACTTGATTCTTGTTACTGAAAAATATGAAATGAAGAGTGACATGATTACTAAATTGATTAATAAACCTATTAATTTTACAAGAAGAAGCGTGTATCTATTGTGTCATTAGTGTCCGGTGTTTTGTTAGTATACCGTCAATCAAAAATACGTGTCCACTTCACCGCTAATACGCGCAAAACGAGTGTTAATCATACTTTCCGTTTACAATAAAAACCAACAAGTGATATTTCAAATAATAATTATATTTGAAAGGCATTAAGTAACTATGATATCCTAGGCAATTAATTTTAATTTATTTAAAATTAAATGTCGATAGATACATTAATCCTAGAACTCCTGAGCAATGACGATCGAGCTTAAATAGGTATACGACAATGAATTATTTTTCGAAATTTTTTTACAGAAAGGAAATAGTCCGAATGTAGTTTCTTGACTTGTGGGTTCGAGGACCCCCCGCCCCCCCCAGAAGTCATAGGGTTAATATTACTTTGTTTATTATTTCTGTACAACAACTACATATTATTCTTCACTTACCTAGAGTTTCCTTTTCCAATGCATTTTTCTTCGCAAAGTCGTCGGTTATAGCTTCGGCAACAGCATGCCATTCTTGATTTATTCTTGGCGAGGTTACATCAACAGTTTACTCGTGCCATAAAATGGGATGTTTCCTAACTGTTTCAATGAACTTGACTTCCTCCATTTTACTCATCACCTTTCACGAAAACTAATTGTATGTCTGACGCAATGCTTTGCGTTTGAACAAATACTAGCCTCCATGAGAAAGCGACTGTTTTCGCGATCAGTCGCGGAAAGGCATTTACGGATTTCCTTATCTACCTTTTTTTCGCGGTATACCCTATTAATCAGTGCTAGATAGGGATTATCGATAGTCATCGCAGCGACGTGGACTTCGATCTCTGATGAGTACCGAGAAACATCTGACAAAGGGAGGCGCAGAAGTGTCCTACCCCAATTTCAATGAGCTTATGCAGAGATGTAGGTATGCATGTATGAAAAGTACTGGTAGAACATTAATCCGCAGATGACCATTCATTTTTCAGTTGGCCCATATTCATTTTCCAGCTAAGGTTAAGTCCTATGTGGTCCAACCATTGAGTTTTATACTAACAGAGGTAGGCACGGTAGTGTCCCCCTCCGATTTTGATGAAACTTCGTATGTCTGTTAAGCAGTCAAAAATAAGAGATACGTATTTTTGTTATCGTCTGAGACGCGATTTTAAGGGATGAAACCACCCCTCGAAGTTTCGACCCGAAAGTACAATCTTGAAAACCAGAGGAGATGCATGAAAACTTCTAATATTCGAGGTTTACGGTTTCTTATGTAGAATAATATGGTGCTAACAAATTGTCCAAAATATGATTTGTTTATAACAAAAAAATTTCGGATCGAAAGTTCGAAGGGTGGTTTCACTCTTTAAAGTCGCATCTTAGCCGATAAGAAAAAATACGTATCCCTTACTTTTGACTGTTTAACAGACATATGAAGTTTCATCAAAATCGGAGGAGGACACTTCCGTGCCTTCCCTTGTAAGTAGGGTAGACTTAGGGTGAAGCTTAATGGGTCCAACACAGTCCTCTCACCAGAAGGCAGCCTTGTCTCCCCCACTCCGTGACCAGATCCTCCAGGAACATAAACCTTACTAGAAACATGTTCCTTATTCTTAACTTTCCCACATTTGTTCTTCACATGAACAAGTCCATGTCACCAATAGCTGACTGGACCCATCGTGTTCTTCCTTCATCATAGTCTTATGCACCCTCTTTCAAGGCTGCACGCATTCTAAATCTTTATCATAAATCCTCCATGGATGACAGGCCATCCGCCTTCGACTCTATTTGCAACACGTTGATGCTAACAAGTGTTTTCTTCCTTCTTCATTGATCCGCTACGGAACACCTGGGGCTAACTTATCCTTTCATCGACAGTCGGTTGGGAGCAACAGTATTGTCAAAACCAGCATGGGCATAGCCAGGTTATCAGTCAGAGGGAGGAGGGGGGGG